TTTTGTAGACTTAGAATGCATATGGATTGACGTAGAGGCGGATCCACAATCTCAGACGGAGCTTGATGGACCATAGAAGAAGAGGACGCTTCAGGTGTGTCGGAGAGTAAAGCGTCAGTACTTGCGGAATGATTAGTACGAATTGGTTGTAAAGACAACGGGGTAGGAACATGAGAATGGACATTTGAAGTAGTAGGCTCCTGAGAAGACAAACTATCAGGATTGTCAAAAAAATGATCTATACAAATAAGATCCGATCTAGTCAGACTATGAGTAGTGGATGGAATAGAAAAGAAAGGTATATGCTCGAGAAAAACAACATAACGAGACATATAAAGTTTCTGAGTTATTGGATCAAAACAATGATACCCCTTTTTATCTTCACCATAACCAAGAAAGACACAAATAGCAGATCGAGATGAGAACTTACTACGTTCTACATGAGGACAAAGAATGAAACAAGTACAACCAAAAACTCTAAAGAGAGAATAATCAGGGGTATACCCATACAACTTTTCGAAAGGAGAAAACCCTGAAATATGAGAAGATGGAATTGTATTAATCAAACATACAGCAGTAAGAATAGCTTCACCCCAAAACACACTGGGGACAGATGCAGACAATAAGAGAGAACGAGCAGTTTCAACAATGTGCCTATGTTTTCTTTCAGCAACACCATTTTGCTCAGGAGTATCTGTACACGAAGCTTGGTGAATAGTTCCATCTAAAGCAAGCAGCTTACAAAATTTATTAGAAGTGTATTCCCCACCCAATCATACCTAAAACATTTGATAACAGCAGAATGTTGAGTTTTAACAAGAGCACAAAAGGTTAAGTATATCTCAAAAAATTCAGAGCGATGTTTCATCAAATAAATCCAACAATAACGAGTGTGATCATCAATGAAAGAAACATAATATCGAGACCCTCCTTTTGTGGCAATAGGAGAAGGGCCCCATATATCAGAATGAATCAAATCAAATGGAGAAAAAGAAATAGAAATACTTCGATTAAAAGGTAAAGCTGAAAATTTTGCCAGTTTGCATCCACTACAATCAGAAATATCACAAGAGTGTAAATTTCCTAAAGCCCCTGTAGAAGCTAAAAATCTCAAACGAGACGACGAAACATGACCTAGATGAGAATGCCATAAATAAAAACTAGAAGAAGAAGGAATCAAACGAAATGAAGACAAATCAACACTAGTAGCGGCAGCAGCAACTGACACTTTTAGCTCATCCAAAATATATAGTCCACCCTTCCTACGGCCTGTCCCAAACAGCTTCTGAGATTGCAGATCCTGCACATAACAAGAAGAAGAGGAAAATGTGACTAAATTACCAGAATCACATAACTGACCAACAGAAGCAAGATTCAATGTGAGTTTCGGAATATGATAAACAGTAGAGAGGGACAAGTGAGGTGTGATAACAGAACCAACACTTGCTAATGGCATAGGAGTACCATCAGCAGTCATGACAGCAATAGAGGACAAAGGGGACACAGAAGCAAAAGACGAAGAATCTGGAGACATATGATGTGAAGCACCAGAATCCAAGACCCATACAGAATGTGACATACCTGAAGAAGTATGAGGCAACTAACCCATGGAAGAAGCAGACATAGCTTGAGGCTGTAAGGAGAGAAACTTCTAAAATTGCTCAGCCAAAGTACTAGGATCAGTGAAAAGACCTGATGAAACTACTGTTGTAGTATTAGATTGTGGTGGTCTATGAGCATTAGATCATGATTGGTTGCCAGGCTTCCAAGCTTTAGAATGCTGTTGTAATTGATTTGAATGTCTCAACTTGGGACACTGAGCCTTCCAATGACCTTTATGCTTACATAAACTGCACTCGTCAAAGACAACCCCTGTGTGAGGCTTATTTTGATTATTAAAGGATGGCTTAGAAGACACTACTAATACAGAAGGATTAGAAGCAGAAAGAATTCCATTTTCAACATAAGACTTAAGACGTATTTCTTCAGCTAATAACTCGCTGACAACTGAGTCAACTGAAAGAAGTGGAGAACGATGCAAAATTGAAATTCTGAGCCTTCAAAATCACTGCGAAGTGCCATTAAAAATTGTACCAACCGTTGCTGCTCTCTACGAGTAATATAGGCAGCACATGCCTTTAATTCTGTCGATTCTGTAAGGGCCAATTGATCCCAAAGATCTGTCATAGCAGAACAAAACTCCTGAATACTCATATTATTCTGATGAAGAGCTCGTATATCATTCTCCAATTGATACTGCTTTACAAAATTTGACTGAGTGAATAATCTTTGCAGATGATCCCAAACCTCCTTTGTTGTCTCATACTTCGTCAACTCTCTACCTATGGAATGCTCCACAGAGTTGTTAATCCAAGTAATAATTTTTGAATTGTTTGATTCCCAGGCATCTATCAAAGCAGCATAATCCTCATTGGTATTCTCAAGTTTCACAGAAGTTCCACTAATGAATCCCCACATCTTTTTACCTTTAAGAAAATTTCTCATCACGTAACTCCAATACGAATAATTCTTTCCATCCAACCTCACACTCACAGACTTAAGCGAATCGTCTCTTTCAGTAGCCATAATAAAAAAATAACAGATTGCAGAAATATCAGATTGCAGAAATAACAGATTGCAGAAATACCAGATCGCGAAAGCTGTGTTTGAGATTAAGTTTTGTCCCATGAAATCTGGCTCTAATACCATGTTAAACAATCCAAAGAACATAAAGAAGAAAAAGGAGGAGGCTAGGGTTTCATTGATACTACGTAATTAATTGGATGCTAAAATATGGTTTAATCTAAATACAAAGAGAATATACATAGGCTAAACAAAGAAAATTAAAAATGACTATTCTACCCTTAATAAATAATAAATAATCCTATATTTCTTAACATTGACAATAATACGCTATAAGATTTGAATAAGTGTATTTTTTTTTTCCAAAAAGAATGGTGTAGTACATGTTAGCGACGTTTTATTTGTTTTATTTTATTTCTTGAATTTATTTAAACTTTCTAGTATTTATATTTTACAGAGGACCTCTTTTTATATATTATTGTAGGTTTTTTTCCCCTTTTGATTTGTCACTTTTTAATTTTTTTTTAAGAGTTTGTTACTTGATAGTCACGAAATATTGAATAAAACAATAGTGACTTTCATTGGTAGTATGAAGATTCTACGACGTTAGATCGTTTTGATTGTTAGTTTACACGCTTCGTTTATGTTAATGCTTCGCAAGTAGATACATTTGGGACAATAAATCCAATAGAAAGAAGGACAAAGTCCAAGGAAAGACAAGTAGAAATGGTTGAGATGCATAAATAGGCGATGCAAGCATTATCGATAATTGACAACCTAAACAAGGACCATTCATCATAATCTTATTAGGGTTGTGCTAGGTGTATAGGTAGGGGTTCACATAGAACTCCTACCAACACCTGAAAAAGGTGAGGGTGGATTATTTTTTGACCATTTTTTATTTGAATGGACCCCCAAACACTATGAGTTTTTTGAACCTTGCTTTCGTACAAATGAAAAAATCGATCTTATCATGTATATCAACAAAGGGGTGGGCACAAAGCTGTATTTAGACACCCCTTCTCTTGAATTCGTGCTTATACACTCTTTAGTAAAAGGCAATATCACATAAATCCTTCATTTAAAAATTACATTTCAAAACTAACAAATTTTTAAAAATCTTTCAAAAAAATCAAGTGATAATTAAATTTATTAAATATTTAATTATAATATAGTATAATTAATCTTCCGACGATTGTTTCGTCGACCTCACCCCACCTTCGGCAATAGCTCAGGTAACAATTCAAGTAACCTATCCAGCACCGGCGATCACTCCGACAACAATTCCAACGACCTCCCAACTATAGCTCCGACGAATGTTCTGGCGACTATTTCGGTGACCGCTCATCTTTTCGGCAACTACTTTCTTTCTTCTTTTTTGGCAATGAAATGACCAATTTCATTATATCTACGAGTTGTGCACATTATGATCTGTGACCAGTTCTATTGAATCTGTGACCTAATCAAGTTGGATAAATATGCATACGATCAACTTCAAAATTTTGAAATAAATTTTAAAATTTCAAAAATCTTGTGACCAGTAAACAGTGACCTTAATGACGAATTATGACTTGTACTGTATGGACTGTGACCTTGTGAGTTCATGACCAAATTTATCTTCAGTATGACTGTCTGTAATCATGTTAGTCTAATTTGTGGCTATATATAACCAAGTCACATACGGTCACACTTAACACAAATCTGATCATAGGCAGTTACAATGAAGATGTGGTTATAGATGGTTACAATGAAGATAGATTTGGTCACTCACCACCATTCTCAATATCAGCATCCAAACGTACACCACCTCATCAGAACCACATATACTATTAGCAACAGAACCATTGGCACCTCACGAGCACTACCAACACAACCACCACCATCACAGCCTGGACTACCACCGCCAACTGCACACAAAGAACAAAACTCACCCCAAAATTTTCAGCACCAGATCGTGACCAAAGTTCCCCAAATCATGACCAATAAAACCCGCACAGCCAATAAAAATTCTAGCACTAGAGCGGAGGTCACGCCACTCGCAAAACCCCACCTTAACAATCGCTCCCTCTCGCTAGCAACCGCTTTTGTCCCCAGTAGCCGTTCTCACCACTGCCAATCAACAATCACAACCAACACACACAAACACCATACCAACACTAATACCAAACCACACCTCCGCTACTTTGTGCTCTTTTAGACTTTTGTCAGCCCTTTTCACCATACCATACCAAAATAACAGCACCCATTCGTCTCCACACAACAGTCAAGCTCAATGACGAGGCATGACACTCACAATGCAATTGTGCAATGTTCACGGCGGTGAGCGTTGCTTGGTCTTTCGACAAAAAAGAACTATTAGAGGTGCCTTACCGCCTGCACCGACGCCAAATTATTAGGGGTTCTAAATAGTCAAAGAAATGACGCTAGGATATAGAATGGTTGTGGGTCAACAGGAAAGAGAGAATAGAGAATAGGGAATATTGATTAGGGGGTGGATGGGTTGGGGTCAGGGCCCAAGGGTGTTTATTAGATTTAAATTAATTATAATTAGTAAATCTCAATTACCACCTGATATTTGAAATATAAACTAATCTACCTTATTTATGATACTTAGTCTATAATTGTAGGTTTTTAGGTAATTTTCCCTTAGTAAAATATTGACTTTCATCCATTTATTATTAAGCTAGTCTAAAACTAAGAAAGAGAGATAAGCCCAAGACTACGCTACGAAATAAAGGGAGATTCTTGCAATTATTATCACAAGAAAGCCGTCTTTTATCTTCTAAATGCTTTTGTTTCCAACCCAACACATCCTTGACGTGTCGCTACTAGCAAAACTTTCATCCACATTTTGAAACAAAACAATTTGTAATATTCCATGTTCTTATTTGGTCCAGATTCATTAAATGAATTTTTCGAAAAATCATTTTCAACCACATATTCTTTTAATAAGATAATTTTATACGTATATCCATAATTTTTCATACTTTTTAACAGTACATTCTCCAATTATGTCTCTTTTCATTAATCTTTTTATCAATCTTGGAGTATTTCGGGTTTTACTTGTCCTTTCAGAGATCCATTTAAAGAGCGGTATTATATACATTTTGACCTATGTTGCATATAAACTTTAGAAGTGCTTGTAGTTCCGGAAACTGATTGAATAGAACCCTAGAAAATGTTGCAGAAATTTGGAAATTGATTTTCTAATCGTTTCAGTACATTAATAGATTGCAGACACTTTACGAATAACGTTCGAGCAAAATATTGAAAATTTATCCAAAACTTCACATTATTATGGACTTTTTTTCGACTAAGAATTAACTTAATTGTGGGGTTTAGCTACAAATTTACATAATTTCATGCTTTAATTCTTAAATACACTTCAATGAAATTAACGAGTAACTAGATTTTGAAATAGTATTAAATGCCTAGTTAAAATTACACAGTTTCTTATTCTACTCATATTTAGAAATAGAGGTTTTACATACGTGTCGCATTTCATTTCTTGTTTCCATTTTTTGTGCAACCTATAACATTAGCAATGATTCACACACACACACACACACACACACATATAGGATCATACATACAGCTTACAAATTTCAATTAAGCCTCTTGTACAGTGCTGTGCACAGCTTTTTAAATTTTTTGGTCACGTGATCACTTAAAATTTGTGGGAAAAAGTCAAATTTTCTTTTACTGTCGAATACTGTAAACAGCAGAAAGGTAACCGGGTTCTTGTTGTCCCTTGCACATAGAGAGGTAAAAATTAGAGAAAAACTCTTCTAAAATTTCTACCAAAAATCGACGGACTGAGTGTGGGAGATTGAAGGTAAGAACAAGTTCCACCAAAATAAAATCCGTCCACATACTTCCTTTGTGGTCCCGAGCTCGAAACCTTCCGATTCACTTAATAGTTTCGACTGAAGATGACCACGACGACGCAACGATACCAATTTCTTCCGACGAGGATTGAGCCACTTCACTTGTGATAGGTAATTATTTTGATGAGGAAAATTACCCATTTCGACACAAAATGTTGTAGTCTCACTGAAATGGTTTGAAAATTATGAACATTACCCATTTCGACATCTTCCTTTTATCCAGAACACAGTAAAAAATATTTTGTGTTTGTATTGGAATTATTATTATTATTATTTAATTTTTTAAATTACTGTCCATTTAACGAAAATGTGTACAGAATCTGGAAACAACTTGGTGGCATAGGGATGGACGGAATGACGGAGAATGGTAATGTCATTGTAATTTTTCGAAGATGCATTGTTTCGAAACCTATGTATTTTCACTGCCCCGGCAACTTTCTTGTTTCATTTATAATATTAGTGAGGCAAAATTTCCTTGAACATTTGAACAATACTCAAAATTTATATTGTCATTTAATATGATGTAGGAAAAGAAGTTGCGGAAGTATTGGACGATGAAGTTTTAGTAGAATCCAATGATGACAACAATATGGAGACTATTGACAACAATATAGACAATCTCGTACCATTAGACATTGAAATCTTAGGAGGAGATGGCGTGATTGTGCCTAAAGTTGGTATGGAGTTCAAAGATGAGAAAGAGGTGTATGAGATTTTTAAGAGGTATGCGTATGACGTAGGTTTTTCGGTTCATTGGAGGAATTCTAGAAAGGGAGAAGATGGAGTAGTGAATTACGTTACGTTGACATGTTGTCGTGAGGACTGGAGAAACAGTAATGCAGGTGCTTCTTTGAAGCCACAGCCAACAATTCAGACAGGTTACAAAGCAAGACTTACTGCTTCTTCAGATATTCGTGGAATATGAAAAATTCTCACAGTTGATCTCGAACACAATCATAAAACTAGTCCTTCAAAATCTAGATTATATCGTTGCAATCGAGAATTGAGTGTAAATGTCAAACGCAAGCTCGAAGTGAATGATATAGCTGGAATACCTCTGCACAAGAGTTACAACTCAACAATTGTTGAAGCGGGCGGGTATGAGAACATGACTTGCGTGGAAAAGGATTTTCAAAATTACGTTGAACGAGTGAGGCGATTGAGACTCGGTGAAGGAGATGTCGTGGCAATACAATCATACTTTTCACAAATGCAATCATAGTGCCAGGGTTTTTACTTCTTTATAGATTTAGATAAAGAGTCACGGCTTAGGAATCTCTTCTGGGTAGATAAGAGGTGTAGGCAAGCGTATAAAGAGTTTGGGGATGTAGTAACGTTTGATACCACTTATCTGAAAAATAAATACGACATGCCTTTTGCCCCGTTTGTTGAAGTAAATCATCATGGACAATCAATACTCCTTGGATGTGGTTTGCTGGCAAATGAAGATACAGATACATTTGTTTGGCTGTTCAGGAAGTGGATGCAGTGTATACATGGTCAAGCGCCAAATGAAATTATTATCGATCAAGATAAGGCTATACAAAATGCAATTGCAATAGTCTTTTCAAACACGAGACATAGATGGTGTTTGTGGCATATGTTGAAAAAGTTTCCAGAGAAGTTCGGGTACCACGTTTAGAAGGGCTCCATTTTTTCATCTATACATGGCTTAGTGTATGATACACAGGTCATTGAGGAATTCGAAGAAGGGTGGAAAGCTATGCTTGATATTTATGACTTTCATGAGAATGACTGGTTGTCGAGGTTGTTTGAGAACAGGTGCCATGTTATTTGAAAACAACCTTCTGGGACGGGATGTTGACAACTCAGCACAGTGAGAGTATGAATGCATTCTTCAATGGTTATGTGCATTCTAAGACATCGTTGAAACAGTTTGTCGAACAATATGAGCGAGCATTATGAAATAAATTTGAGAAGGAATTCCAAGTAGATTTCAAGTCTTACTCACAGATGGTACCTTGTGCAACAAAATATGGGATGGAAAAGCAATTCCAAGTTGTTTATGCCATTTCCAAATTTCGAGGATTTCAAGATGAGATAACTGAGAAGGTCTACTGTGATGTGATATCTGTAGTTGACATATGTTCGGAGAAGTTATATGAGATTGAGGAGGATGTCATTTACGAAAAACATGTTAGAAAGAAAAAGTTTGCAGTCACATTTCGGACAGAGAATTGCAATGTTATTTACAGTTGCCACTTATTCGAGTTTCGTGGCATTTTATGTAGACATGCCATATTAGTGTTGATGGTGTTGATGCGTAATGGCATCACATCACTACCGGAGAGGTACATATTGAGAAGATGGAGATGGGATGTTAATAGAGCCCACATGATGGTTACTGTGAATTATGCCGGTTTGGTTAGAACTCCTAGTCAGTTGAGGTATGATAGAATGTGTGAAGTATTCACGACATTGGCAGACATTGCTGCGGACGACGAAGAATGAACTCGTGCAATAATAGATTGGATTCAATTACAGTCTAAAGACATGATGTCCACGAAGACGAGTTGGTTGAAGTAATAGCATTTCGCAGCCTAGTTTGCATGTAGGTTCATAGCCTGGTTTGTATTTAGGTTCGCAATCTAGAGCATCACATGACACTGGCAACGGTACCATACAAGATCCTAAATGTTCGAAAAAAAAGGGTGCACCGAAAAAATTTCGTCATAAAAGCTCATTGGAGTCGACCTCGAAGAAAATAAAGGTTATTTATCTTTCACACATTTTTATCATGTGTCATACATTTCAACGAAGTGCAAATGTCAATTATTCTCATGTATTGCAGGCAGCATCAACTTCCAGCAAAGGACAGAGATCGAGAGCGGCGAAAAGCAATCTCAGACCCGACACACCAATTGTTGAGTCCTTGCCACTTGTACAATATTCGATGACGACACAATTCTCAAATTCACAAGTTATAGCTGTAAGTATTTATTAGTAGACCGAGTTCCCAATTTTGTTATGTAGTCTAAATATTTTATTTCTTATAAATTATTAGACCATTCAGTATCCTAAGCAGAATAATCATAGTAATACTTCAGCTACATATTTCATTGGAGAAGCTTATATATTACAACCTCTCACTCCAAGTTGAAAAAACTGTGTTGTTGGTAGAATATGAATGAATGGGTGAAACAGGGAGTTAAATATACACCTCACATTAATTTGGATGAAACAGGGAATTAATATACTGCATCACGTTAATTTGGGCAGTGTTGGTAGATTATGAATGAATGGCTGCCAATTTATTTTTTCATGTTCATGTTAGGGAATACAATGCAATACTATTGTCCCAATTTGTCTTACAATGTTGGAACACAACTGGGAATGACACCGTCCGCAATGGGTGTTTTTCCTCTTGGATTTCATGATGTAAGTGGTGTAACTTTTCTCCTTACAAATAGTTAATTTCATATGATTCTCCAGTGTACTTGCAATAACAACATGGTAAACGTCATTTCAGACATTGCCTTCACCATCCAACATAGCAGATTGGATGTCTAGTCCTGCCCAGAACATTCCACATGCTACGATTGCTGGAGGTCGTTCTACTCTTATTCAGAATCCGAGTTCAAGAATTGCTCATCAAGATCCTACAAGTGATGCTGAAATTGACAGTAAGTAGACGAAAGAGCAACCAATATCAAGGATGAAAATTATAGTTATGACATGAACAAGTAATATACTCTCTTAAATTTCTAATAGGAACTAATACTCTCTTAAATTAGTTATTCATCTAATTTTGTGTTAGGTATAAAGCATTAATGGAATTGTTTCCATATATCAATGTGTGTGGTAGTAAAAAAAAACCTGCGGCATTTGTATGCACTTATTCCACGAATCAATTTGAAGCAGGGAACTCCATGGTTGAATTCAACAGTGACTGCACCTACCTCCGTCTACGTTGAAATGTTTGGCTACCCAACATCATTCTAGTAAATGATGTTGGGTTTGTGTCCTTCACATTTATGTTATGATTTTGACCTTGAATACTATAAAACAAGTTTTCACGTTTCTTTATTTATTCAAGAGGAACATCAAGTTGAGGCTGATGCTGCACTTCGACAGTGCATTTCTGTTTTGAAGAAGGTACTTGGAGTTCGAATTATGTAAGATTTCTAGTTGCCCCTGTTTCTTTAGATGGTTTGTGTGCTCGTTTATTTTGTTCACTTCTGAATAGGACAGTGCTTTCAATATTTCCAATTAAGGAACTCGAGTTTCAAATATTCATGATCCGCCAGTCAAGCTGATTACTTTCAATTTCTGCAGTTTGGAGCTGTGAAGTATTTATCTGATCATCCTGAAGTAAAAGCTGAATATCTCTCATGTTTAAGGCATCTATCAAATTTGATGAGCAGTTACATGAAAACCAATAGAAGGTCATTGGAAGAACTAAAGGAAGAAATTCAGCGCCTCAAAGTTGAAATTTCAAGAAATAGAAGACGTGAACATTGAATTGGCAGCTGTATGGATGTTTGTTGATAGCATTCGCAATCTGAAAAAGCCTCTTTGCTGAAGGGGTGATGAAAATCTGCAACGGGAATTGGATCATTTACTACAATGGAAAAAACAATCAAATTGCTTTATGCATATTAATTTATCATTTTAGGGCATTTATGTTTACATTTTCAACCGTAGATGCTAAGAACTCTCCTGATTGCTAACATTGTGGCTTATATAAATCGTGATTGCTTCATTTTTTAGTGGTTAAATTATTATTTTTTTACGAAGGATAAATATTTAGAGCAATGAAATTATGTTTTCATAAAAGATGCCGCAAAAGGAAGAGAATTAGAAAGTAATTGGGGATTTAGAAGGGAAAACAGCAGATTTTGACCTCGAAAATGATGCCCACCCACCGAAACTGGTGGCCACAACGTGCGCGTCGAAAAGAGCTTTTGGAATTAGGGTCATGAGTGCGATTCTAATAACCGTAGCAAAAGTTATGACCAAATTACAAAATATACGTCTCAAAAAAAAAACACGGAGTGTTCTGGCCAACACTCCGCACAGTGCGAAGTGTCTAATTTTTTTTTTATTGATACGTATATTTGGTAATAAGAAAAATAAAAATAAAAATTTACAAAAGGATTTTCCAATTTACGTAAGAAGATTTATTTCTACTATAATTTAATTTCTGTTTGTATTTTTATACTGGATAACATAACTGACTGTGTTAAACTTGCTGTCTGCAGGAAAATTATAGGTCTTCTTGAGAACAAAGAAGTGGAATGGTTCATTAAACAGTGTTTTGAAATCATAATTTTAGCAGAGCTAATTCAATGATAATACAAAAGGCTGTAAATAAAGTTTCGAGGTGGTCCCTGGGGTCAAAAGAATTATTTCCCTTGCTCTTCTTGGGTAAAATGGAGCCTGAAATATTGAGCAGAGTGAGCTATGCTTGTTTCTCGAACCATAAGAAGTAAGCATACAAGTATGAATAACTAGTTTCTAGTTTTTAATACATTATATCGTTTGAAACTCATGAGGTTTTACATTGACTTCACTTATCATTTTTTTGGTACACTACTGCTGTTGGTCTTGTTATCATAATAATGGCTAAGGTTTTTTGTACAACTCAAAACAGCTGGTGATCAAGCAATGGTTAACTTGTGAGAAATGCACCAATCATTATACTTTACAATGGCAAAAGACCTGTGCTCATTCGGCAATTGAATTTTTGTGGAAGGCTTAATTCCATAAATATAATACATGAACCTGAAATGGGAACACTGAGAGTTGACATAATTGGCGTGAAGAAATAGATAAGTACTTCATTAAGATTACGGACAAAATACAAGATAGTTGACACCTTGAGAAGCTCGTTGAACATCAATACAATTTTTTCCAAAATCATATTAGATATAACTACCAACATATCATACATAAACACTTGAACAACAATTCTCAAGAGTCATTTTCGTCATACACCATCCTAAACCATCCTAATACATGACTTATTCAATTTTCCTTCTCCAAATCTTGCTTCCCTTTGCGCATTTTTATTTTGAGTGAGATATACAAGTCTTTTTCGCCAGTTAGCTTAGCGAGCGTCTTTAACATGTGCGACAAATCATCCACCTGTTCGCCTCCATTTCTGATGCCACTTGATTCACCATCATCATGCAAAGGACACTTTTCGTCAGGGGATTTGTTACACCACTTGAAGTACCTACAGTTGGGAGTGCAACAATGGAACAATAACCCTTTATGGTCATTGTTCTTTTCAACCTCCATCCATTTGATGAAACCCAAACCACAATTTGGACGGCTTTTCTTTCTCAGGCATTCTGGTAGCATATGTCCCTTTTGTCTACAACAATGCATATTCCCTAATTCTTGCTTGCCATCGACCAAGTCTACTTCAACCACATCAACATGAAAACATTCATTCTCGCAAAACATCCATTTTCCTCGAACCACAGTAAGCAGACATTCCAATCTTCTTAGAATTTAAAACAGCACTATAGCATAATAATTTATCCAGCAACACGAGAAATTGTGAATACGCCTCCTTCACGTGATTGTGTAATGTATACAGAAACAAAAATGTTATATCAAAATATTCTGATTACAATGCCATAAAGAAATATTCAAATCCTTTGGAATAAGGAACCATCTATAGTGAATCTTAAGCTTTCAGGGTATGCCAATGTGTTGTAACCAATATTCAAAAATATTGTTATAAGTAATTATAAATAAACCTTCAGGGTATGCCAATGTGTTGTAACCAATGATAATTGTTGGCACATCTACTGCTCACATCAACCAAAATTCTTGGATGACTTCTGAGTCATACAAAAACATGTTAAAAGTGTTATACTATTTTAAACTAGCTGGTACTAGAACTTACATAATCCTATGAAATGCTTTAACCTTCCCTTCAACGAGAAATTTACAGAGCCCTTTCCAGAAAGATGATATTCCAGTTTTCAAATTACAATTTCGCAATTATTTCTCGCACACAGTAAATCTGAAGCAGAATTGAATGACCCCACATTGTCAAACTACGTTTTCGAAACTCAATTTTTCCCCAACACATAAAACTGAAACAAGGTCGACAAACCATAAAGAACCAATGTTTTGTTCTTACTTAGTAACTCTCAGACGATCAGCCCAGAGCAATCAAACTATTTTCGGCATACACTACAATTGATAGCAGATCCAAAACTTGTATTTTGTCCTTAGCATACGATGAAGCGAGAAATTATTGCATGAATAACATAAATAATACAAAAAGGGCAGAAAATGACATCGTTGCTTCCTTCGCTTTCTCTTACCTAAGCGAGCGAGTATTCCGTGGTCTCTAGCCGACGGGGAGGGAGGAAGTATTGTCTATCGGTTGAAGCGTCGACTGTAAGTGGCGATTTTGTGGTTGGACCATTTTCAGGAGAAGTGGCGACGGAGTGTTTTCAGGAGACGACTTTTAGACAAATGGGAGAGGG